TTATATTTTAGATTTTTTATATTTAAAATAAGATGTTTATCCTGTATTTGATTGTGTTTATCTGCAGTTAGTTACACGAATTCAGTTATGGGATGAAATCGGATAGGGATGAACGGGTTTAAGAGTTTAAGAGTTTTTAAGAGTTTAAGAGTTTTTAAGAGTTTTAGCCAAATGCATTATAATATAGTATAGATATCGGTAATAAGTATTTTTGAGTGTTTGGATAAACAGATTATACCGGTGACAAACCAGTAATAAGGGATTTTTTAAAAAAGTTAAAACTCTTCTTACTTATAATAAGTTGATAAGTAATCCCAAACACCCTCTTAGAAGCTGATTTTTACCGGTAGGAAACTGTTTTAGGTAATATTTTCGACTATCAAAAATTCAAAATTAATTGCATCAAGTATTTTTTTTCCGGGTAAATGTTTACCATATATGGGTCTATTTGTTAACAGCTTAATCAGACTCGAGGCTTATTCAGCTAGCTTAATCAGTCTCAAAGCTTATTCAGTCAGATATACATAACTATCTGATAATGATTTAATAATACATAAAGTGACTTATTCAGTAAGCTTACAGGGGGAGTTTTGTGCAAAAAGTCAATTTTTTTCAAACTTACTCCTCCAAATTAAAAAAACAAGCTTTATTTTATCTATAAAAAACTCTCTTAAACAATAACTTTCTCAGTCTATTCATACAGATTAATCCACACGGACAACTTGATGTATAGAATATTTAAGCGAAGGATCATGCGGGAAGAAAGTTATGGTGAGAAGCGTAAGAAGATATTTGAATCCTTACTTGTTTTTAATCTCATGCCCACCCATGAATTGCTATATGATAATTGATTTGGTGCATATTGGTGCATCTCATTAGTGTTAACATTCAATTATAATTAATCTAAGGGTGGAGATCTCTTCTTACGCTTCTAACCAATAGTTCCCTTCTCACCGAAACTCAACCTACTACACTTAACGGAAAAACCAACCAAATAACTGTTGAGAACCTTCCACATCACTTAGTGGGTAAGATCTTTTGTCCTCGTTATGCATCTTATTTGGTAAGATTTTTGGTTTTTGTCATGCTCACCATTAAGGTAGCGCATACCTATTTAAACGAATGTTAATTATGTAATTTACATGTAAAATTGGCAATGATGCTGAATAAATATTTAAAATTGTATAAATTTTATTTAAAAATTCAACAATATATTTTTTTTATGGGTAAAATAGACAAGTTAAACAAATTCAGACGTTTATCAGTCTATAAAACACAAACAGTCTTATTGGTTCATATTTCATATGTCAGCACAACCTCTTTAAATCATAAGTGAAATAAGATTTCAAACTTCAGCACCTCTTAAACGACCATTCGGTTTTAGGAAAACGCAGATTCACACATGGCTTAAATTTTTTTGGGAGCACAGTGAGAATGTCGGACCAAAAAAGTGAAACCCCGTTATCTCTCCATTCATGATGTACACAGTTATCAAGCCTCGTTTCAAATCTGAAATTAAACTATGAGTTTTATATGCATAAAACGACACTGCATTATGCATTACGAATGGTGATTAAGAGTTTTTGATCAAATGCATTATAAAAGTAGCATAGATTAGCGGCAGATTGGTGAGTTGAGTTAGGCCAACTCAACTCCAACCCTCTTAATTTACGATCTAGTGGTTTGTTAGCGGGTCGAACAATTTGACGGTTTTTTGTACACCTTTAGGAAATATTTTCAATTACTTATTTACTTGTATACACATGTACATACCATACAAATAAATGATTATTAGAGTGTTTCTCAAAAATTTATAGCTTTTTAGTGTTTTCCCTCAGGTCCCGTTTGGTCTGAACGGATGACATGTATTTTGGGGGATTTGCATTTCAAATTCATTCCAATCCCATGATTGGTTTGTTGGATTGTCCGGATTTGAAATACTTGGATTTAATTGAAATCCTTGAAATATAAGATTTTGAAATCCTTAAGGAGTGCTCATGATTTCATAGGATTTCGTAGAATTGTATACAATAAAGTTTAAATAAATGTTGGAAACATTTTTGTAATAATTGATTAATAAAAATATAATTCAATTATTTTTATAATTATTTATAATTTTTCTATAAATTATGAAATCCAATTTCATTTCAGATCCTACAAACAAACACATCAATAATTTCAAATCCATTGCAATCCAAATTCGTCAAAAAATCTAAATTTCTAACTTATTTTTATTTTTATTTTTAATGTAAATTTAATATTAAAATCAATGAAATTGATACAAAGTGGGATTTATTTTTGCATACAAAAGCACCGAACAAACCTAAAACCAAGCTTGCATTTCATCTGCCCCCCTTTATCCTTCCATAAACCCTAAAACCCTAAAAACTTATGGATCCAGGAAGGAAGACAGACGCCCAGAACTCAACAATGACAGATGCTATGCCGGCATCAAAGACCAGGTTCGAGTTCGAAGATGCAGACGAAACCATAGAAGAAGCAGCCACCGGCAGCTCGAACTTGGAGGAGGATTCTGCCATGTGTGAGCCCGAGGATTCTTCCATTGTTGGTGCTGATAAGACCAGCGCTGATTATTACTTCGATTCATACTCTCATTTCGGTAAATAACTAGTAATTAACTCTATTGTCTCTGTTTATGTTGTTGTTTCTGCTTGTTGGTGAAAGGAAAACGTAAACGTATCAGTTGTATCCATTAGGTAGTTTTTGAGAGAAATTTATAAGCCCATTGAATGAAATGTAGAGTAGTATGTCTACGAGAGAGTAAGGTTTTGAGGGTGCGTTTGGTACAGAGTTACTGTTCCACGCTTGTCAGGAGGACATTTACTTACGTGGAAGAAACAGGAACACAGTGAACAAAGCGAAACAGATGCCCACCTCACCTCTGGAACAAGGTGGAAAATGACCTATATTTTATCGAAAAACATAATTCTCTTCTGAAATCTCAAATAGATTATCGTTTATATTTTATTTATTCTTTAAATTTTATTTATTGTATTTTATACTCTTTAAACTTTCATTTTTCTTTATCAATTTTTTTTTATTGTTTCTATATTTCGATTAATTTATGTAATTTATTGAATACTAGTAATAAAAAATATAATATAGAGAAATGTATAAAATAAAAATTGGAACCAACATAAACTTTTTATTTGGTGCAATTTTAATGGTGTTCACGAGAACTTTCTAATGATATATTTTTCTTAAAAAATATTTATTTTATTATAGTTTAATAAATTACATAGGTTAATCAATATATAGAAAATTATAAACAACTCATTAAGGGTAAATTGGTCATTTATCTGTTCTGTCCAGTTTTGTATTACCAAATTTGAGACAACTGTCATGTTCTGTCTGGTCTGGGTACCAAACGCATCATAGCTGAACAAAACTGAACTGCATAAGTTTTGGGTGGTCTGAAACGTAGGGTTCGGTTCCAGCTTGAACTGTTGAATATGTGATGAACTCATGAGTTCGTTAATCAAAGTTTAGGTGCCGTTTGGTAGACTGAAATGAACGAAATGAATAAAGCCGCAACTTGTTATCAGGTTTGGTTTATCCAACACAGTGGTTCCTTGCCTTTATTTGTTTCCTTCGCGGTTATGTAGGCAAGACCAAAAATGTGATCTTTTATCATAGAGGGCTGAGAGCATTTTCATGGAACTAAATTGTGTCTTAAATTTTTTTTATGGAAATAAAGAAAGGCAGATTACATTGTGATGGATAAATCAGACTTGATACAAGCTGTGGATTTATTCATTTCAGTCTGCCAAATGAAACCTAAACCTTATTAAGTCTTACCAACCTGGCTCGAAGATGAACTCATGAAACTTAACACAGGTTCAAGCTGGAATTGACCCTGCATTTTAGATGACTTGAATTCTATACAGTTCAGTTAGCTTGTAGCCTGGCTTATAACTATAAGCTTGGTCTAGCTTTTATGGAAGCTTTTAACCTTGTTTCTACATGACCCGAACGATTCAATAACCACAAAGTAAGAAGTGACAAGATGGAACCTGTGAATTCAAAAGATTCTAGAGATTATTCATGGTTAAACTCTTCACAACTTATTAATGGATATATGAAACCATGTGCTATGGCTTGAATCCATAGTCGATCTTATTTCCGATAGGGACATTGACAACTGAATCCGATTTTTCCCATTATTTTCATATCCGTAATTAACAAATAGCTAATTTTTACCAAAGGGTCTTTGGCCCAGTGGTATCTAGTAACCCAACCATTCTAGAGGTCAAGGGTTCCAGCCTCACCAAAGGTGAGACATGAGTGTGTGTTTAATTTCACATATAAATGTTATAAACTTAAAAAAGCTAATTTCTTTATTGTTTATTTAATTTGATTTCAATTTTTTTCTGATGCTTTTCTTTCTTTGTTTTTCTGTCTGCAGGTATTCATGAGGTAAGCCTTGTATCTATTACAACTGACAAAGCGACATGACAACTAACTGCCACACGATAGATCCCTTCTACCATATGATATTTGCTAATATGATACATCATTTTCTACATAAAGAATGTTAACCAGTGAGAATAGCTGTTCTGTAGTTTGTGTAAATAATACATCTATAGTCAAAACACCATGCAAGGTGGATTCTTCTTTGTCTTCTTCCTCTCATGTGTAACTCGGTTTATGAATCCAGGCTTTCTCCAAACCAATTAGAACTTAAATATTCCAAATATGTGCAGGAAATGCTGAAGGATGTGGTTAGAACGAAGACCTACCAAAATGTTATTTATAAGAACAAATTTTTATTCAAGGACAAGATTGTTCTTGATGTTGGTGCTGGGACAGGAATACTATCCCTCTTCTGTGCAAAAGCTGGGGCAAAGCATGTGTATGCTGTATGTATTTTGTTTTCTCTATCTCATGACTTCTACTAACATGCAAGTGTATTCTTTTTGGCATGTACTTTTTTGGTTTGTTGCATCAAGTTTCACCTTAAATGGGGTGGCAAACATCATTATATGGGTCATGGAGAAGTCTCTTGATGGCTTCTTTTATTTTGGACCCTAGGCCTGATCACTATTGGAAGAAACTTGTTTAGGGGACAACCATTATACACACAACAATTCTAAATGGTTGCAGCATTTGGTCATAATTGTCATAATGCTCATGGTTTTTTATTTTTCTTTCCACTAAGAAGGGTGAGTTCAAATGTGGGTTCAAACTTACGTCCTTGGTTGGGGGAGAGGGGGTTGTTTCTTTGTTATTGAAAGTATAGCAAGATGCTATATGTGGTTGTCCAACAAGGTAGCATAGTGGGTGGAGAGTATTGGTTTTCTTCGCATTAACATTGGTAGCAAGATGCTGCATGAAGGCATTTTTTTACTTGGTTGTCTATGGATGGAATTTATTTATTTACCAAATTACCCACTATGGTCTTTCCTCACAGCCAATTATATATTTGAGCTTGGAATGTTTGTGTCTACAATCTCTTTCAGAAAGTTTATTGAATGCTTTGTGTTTGCATCAGGGGCGGGCCCACTTGATTGGATATGGTGGCACGGGCCACCTCTTAGTTCCTCCATTGTAGTGTAAAAAATTATAGGGTTGTGAAAGGTTCTATCCATATCAATTTGTTGTGTATCATTAAAACTACAACGATGACACTAGTTTCCCTTGGTAGAGTTGGTTTGCATGACTTTTCTCCCACCCCACTCCTGGGTTCAAACCCTGTTAGTGTCATTTTCTTAGTTTTTAGTTTTTAATTTCAGATTTATTGTGTTTTTGAATTTTTTTGCAACAAAAAGACTTGGAACACAGGACCTCACATATGAAAAGCTATGAACCAACCAATAGACGAATGATGATTTTTTGAAAATATATTTGTTTTTATAGTCAAATTGTGCCACCACTTGAAAAAAATTCCACGTCCGCCTCTATTTTGCATGTGATACTATCTTACTTGCAGTATACAGATTTATATTTTTTCTGTTTCTTGTCAAACTTCTGGCATGTGATGCTACTTGTTTCTGCAGGTTGAGTGCTCGCAGATGGCTGACATGGCACAAGAAATTGTTAAAGCAAATGGTTTCTCAAGTGGTAATAGCATCTTTTAAAGTCCAAGGTTGTACATATTCTAAAATATTGGATTGACTAGTAAACTAATTTGTCCTCTTTCTGTTTCAATATACAGTTATAACTGTTTTGAAGGGAAAAATTGAAGAAATTAACCTTCCAGTTCCTCAAGTGGATATTATTATTTCAGAATGGATGGGGTACTTTCTGTTATATGAGAACATGTTGAATACCGTTTTGTATGCTCGTGACAAATGGTTGGTAAGTTTCACCTCCATTTTTGGCTTTTAGGTCGGTTCCAGTTGGAGAATCTTGTAATCTTTTGGGTCGGTTTCCAGACTTGCTTCTTTGTACCCATCTAAATCTAATCAACCTAGGCACTTCCTATTATTAATTTTGTAGTCTTTTGTTTTACTATTTTATTTCTTAATTTCTTCCTGTAAAATTAAGATCACATGTAGGGGATGTTTTGTTGGTTCTTCATTAAGTTCTGTATGAATAAAGCCGTCTGTGTGGATTAATCTATCTTGTATAGATTGGGAAAGTTTTTGTTTGGGAGAGTTTTTTCATAGATAGAAGAAACACGTTTTTAAATTGGGAGGGACATGTTTGGAGAAAAACTTGGCTTTATGGCATAAAGCTTCCTACTAGAAGCTTACTTAATAAGCTACTTTCTATATGGTTAAGCTACTACCAAACAGTCATATATAGCTGACTGGATAAGTTGTGGGTCCTGTTAAGCTTATTAAGCTGCTAACAAACATGTCTGTAGTTTCATCATTTTGTTGTTTTTGAGGGATATATATAATATAATATACTTCCAATTTTAGCTCTCATTGTTACTAAAAAATATATATATGGTTAAGACCTCCTGCCTTTTTTGGACATCGTAGGTTTTAATCCATTACATAAATTTCTATACTTTTCTTTTCTTTTTGAAGGGTTAGATGATGTTTCTTCACATTTTATGTATCACAATTATCCGATATTTTTGGTTCTTTGACTGGAAATAAAGCATAAGTGAATCATCTGTACCTCCAATTTCTTTTATACGAGAAAGGTTTGATCTTATGTTCATCTTTCTTAATCTTCTACAAGACATTAGGTTGCCATTGTTTCTCTGTAATTTGATGTGGAATCGACCATATTCCAACATGATACAGAATCTGTTGCTCTACTTCATCTTCTCTTTTGCCTTTCTTGAAATCGTTGTTTGTCCTCCACAGGTTAGCAACGGAATTGTGCTACCTGATAATGCATCTCTCTATCTGACAGCAATCGAGGATGCCGAATACAAAGAGGACAAGATTGAATGTATGCTACTCCCTCTAAAGAATCTTCTGTTATCTGAATTTAAACGTACAAATGTTCTTCAAACTTAATCGAATTTATATTTTATGATCACAGTTTGGAACAACGTATACGGCTTTGACATGAGCTGCATTAGGAAGCAGTCCATGATGGAACCGCTTGTTGACACAGTTGACCAGAATCAAATCGTCACAAATAGCCAATTACTTAAGGTGGGAAATATATGTACCCTTCGCACTTCCGCTTATTTTGAAATCTTCTAGGTTTTTTATTGGGTAACCATGGGTGTCCGAGCCAGCTTGCTTGCACCTCGACTAAAAAAAGGGGACCCAGAAAAGTTTTCAAGCAGTAACACCATTGGACCATAAGGGTGAAAACCATAGAAATTTACGGTATGGCTCCACATGGGGCCGCCCTTGTCGACTAATCCCATGGGCCATGTAGATAACATTCGGGAAAATTCCCAGTGGCACTAAGGGTGCGTATGCCGTATGCTATCCGGACAGGATAGAGCTGAAACTGTTCAGCATTTGGTAAGACAGAACTGGACATATTAGAACAGATAAAATGACCAATTTAGTCCTAATGAGCTGTTCATACATTTCGATTAATATATGTATTTTATTAAATTATAATAAAATAAATATTTTTTATAACAATATATTATTAGAAAGTTTTCGTCAAGATGATTAAAATGACACAAAAATCAAAAAGTTTATGTAGTTTTTAATTTTTATTTTATACCTTTTCTATATTATTTTTTAATTATTAGTATTTAATAAATTACATAAATTGATCAAAATTTAGAAACCGTATAAAAACAATATTTTGAGGACAATAAAGTGAAACTTTAAAGAGAATAAAATATAATAAATAAAATTTAAAGAATGAATAAAATGTAAAGAGGGAGGTATATTTGATGTGTTAGAAGAGAATTAAGTTTGGTTTTGAGGTTATATTGGTAAAATATAGGCATGTTCCACCTTGTTCCATAGGGTGGAGGTAGAACACCCCTGTTCCACTTTCTTCCCCATTTTGTTTTAGTCTGTTCCACATAAAAGTCCTGTCAAATGTGGAATAGTGATTCTGTTATGTCATGTCCACTGTACCAAACGCACCCTAAGGGGACTCGAATTGGCAACCTATGAGGAGGATTTATAGGGGCAAGGGGGGAGGGGGCGACTCTTGCTTCCCGCCACTTGGTCGGACTCTCAACCTTGTATTTTTATGACCGATTTAAATTGTTTCTACAGACCATGAATATCTCGAAGATGACGTCTGGGGATGCATCCTTTACAGCTCCTTTTAAGCTTATTGCTCAACGTGATGATTACATTCATGCTCTTGTAGCGTACTTTGACGTCTCTTTTAGCGTGTGTCACAAAATGACGGGGTTCTCTACAGGTTAGCTATTTTCTATTTTCATTCTTGTAATTGGTTTAAATTATTTCCCAAAATAAATGTCTACAATAAAAAAGGTACATAGTCTGTTTTTTAATATTTTGAATCATTACCCTTTTTAATTAGTTTAATGACAAATTTACCCCTAATGATAGAGGAAGTAATGAATTTCCCACTCTCATGATTAAGGGTAAAATTGGAAAGTAGAAATTTAGAGCGCTTACAGTTGTCACTTACCTTACCGATTGAGCATGACAAAAGCGACGAATCATACCTGGTAGTAGGGAGACATAACAAGGACTTAGGGGATGTTTGGTTGGTTTTCCAACGAGTCCTGTATGGATAAAGCTGTTTGTGTGTATTATTGTCTATATATATTGCAAAGGTTTTTGTTTTGGAGGGTTTTTTCATAGATGGAAGGAGTGTGTTTTTTAACTGGGATAGACAAATTTGGAAAAAAAAACTTGGGTTTCTGCATAAAGCTCCCTCCTAGAAGCTTATTGAATAAGCCACTTTCTATAGTATTAAGCCACTACCAAATAAGCTGTGAGTCCCATTAAACTCATTAAGCTGCTAACAAACATGTCCTAAATAAGGGTAATTTCTCTTGGCGCTAAGCATCTGGTAAACGACCCCTTACTTTTGAAAGTCCCAAAACTTGTTAATAGAAATGTGGACAATATTTTGGACGGAGGGAATAAAAGTATTTTGGCATCTAAAATACGCGTAAGAGAATATTGTGGAAGGTTTTAATTTGACACGTGTAGTTTAGTAATTTACCAATTTGATGTTGGTTAACAAGTTTTTGTACTGTCCCGTCCCGACGATCTTTTTGCTCATAATCCAGGTCCAAAATCAAGGAATACACATTGGAAGCAAACGGTGTTATATCTTGAAGATGTGTTGACTATATGCCAAGGCGAGTTTGTTGCTGGAAGCATGACGGTGACTCAAAACAAGAAAAACCCGCGAGATGTTGATATCACTCTCAAGTACACGCTAAACGGTCGTCGCACCACCATCTCGAGAACCCAACAATACAAAATGCGTTAAAATTGACGGAGAAGATCGGTTTGTAGCGCAAAATGGAGGGAAGTCCATCTGGGGTGTTTTTGCAAGTGGTTTAAAATCCCAGTTTATGCATCAAATTTTGTATCCCAAATTGATTCTTTTAATTAATGATGATTTAATGATTGCCAATTTGTTGATGCTTTTAAATTAATTGATTCTTATTTATGCTTTTTCTTCAAATATAACTGGTCATGTCTGGGAGGACCGAGACCGGCCTGAAACAGGGACCGGTCAAGGCTCGATCGGTTAAGCCCAGTTAGGAACCTTCTTGGAGAATCTGTTGACTGGCTCGATCAAAAAAGCCAGTCAAGACCGGTTAGAAAGGACCTATTGGTTCTTGTAACTGATTTATCTTTTCTAATGGTTATTAATTGATGATGTTAACTGTAGGGACCTTAAATGCTATGATATTGTAAAGTTAAGGACTATGAGTATAAGATGGTTTATTTTAGGAACCAAATCTAAAATTTGACCAAATCGAATTTGATTCACTTTTTTTTTTTTATTAACCTGGAAATCCAATCCGTTATGCGAGTCGATTAATCATAGGGTGACTACCTGTTTTGCAGATAGTCCGGAGTCGTCGCATTTGAACCTTTGTGGCCACAAGGGGATTTTTATTCCTGCTTGGATTTGAACCTGAGACCTCCTGACACTTTTGATCTTTGGAGCCAAGCTCAAACCAATTAGACACCATTTTATTTTTCTCTACTGGAAAGGTACTCACGCAATGCAGTGAGATACATCTCGATTTTAATGTTTTGTTTTATTATGTCTCATGTGGATGTTAATACGGTTTTATATGGTTTTGAGAAAAAACGATAATGTTTTGATTTTTGAATAAAGTATAAATTTGAAGATATCTTAAAAAAAATTTAAAAAAATATATCGATATTAGCATCAGATTAACTATTTAAAAGCTCTTGCTTTGTTGTGTAATTTTTTAAATTCAATTTAGGCTTAAGAACGAAGTAATTTATTTTTGATTTAATAATATAATTTTTTATAACTATAATAATTAAGTATTATGTTATAAAACAATGATTATCCTAATTATATTTTAGATTTTTTATATTTAAAATGAAATGTTTATTAAGTATTTGATTATGTTTATCTACAGTTAATTACACGAATTCAAACATGAAACTTTAATAAGTTGTACATATGCATTATTTACTTGTAATTTTGAATTTTAAGTAATATACATCAATAAACAATATTTTACGCATAAAAAAATGATTTTAAGAGTTTTTATCAAATGCTTTATAATATGGTATAAATTATCTTGGAAAAAGGAAAAAAAAGAGAGTAAATTACAATTTTACTTCTTGTGGTTTAGAAATTGTGTTTTTCGTCTCTATGGTTCACAATTTATTACAGTTTGAGCAAATCACAAGAATCAAAACGGTAAAGAATTGTAAACTATATGAATGGAAACAACAATAAATTATAAATTGTAAGGATAAAAATAGCAATGAATTATAAATTAGAGGGATGAAAATTATAATTTCCAAACCAGAGGGACTAAAAGTAATAATTTTTTAACAAACGACATGGATTAAAAACATCGACGAAGATCACACACACGATAACTCCGATCACCCTCCGCCACTACTCGTCGGTGGAAGTTAACGTTGTAGTTATATATATATATATATATATATATATATATATATATAGAGAGAGAGAGAGAGAGAGAGAGAGAGAGAGAGAGAGGACAAATTTATGGAGAGAAGGAAGGAAAATGGAGGAAAAATCGCTTCGTATAAAAACCACAAATGCTTACTACTTATACAATGGTTACCAGTTTCAGAGAGAGAAAATAATTACCAAAAGAAGGGAGAAATAATAATAAGGTAGAGGGGGGAATTACTTCTCGCCGTTCGTCAGACACAGACCGCCATGGCCATGGCACATTCCGGTGATTCCATTGCCGTGGATATGCCAAATCATCTTATTGAAAAGGTTTCTTTCTATTCTTCTTTCGTCGTCTCTTTGATTTCTCCACTTTTGTATGTATCATCCAATTTGCTTAATACGAATTGTTTTCTCGAATCCCTATTTCAATTTCAACTTGTATTACACATTTTTCCATATCACATTTTGTGTTATTATCTTATCTGGAAATGTTCATGTATACATATCATAATTTCAAGTTCAATGTATTTGAAATTGAATTTGTTTTTTGGAGAAATTTCATATTCGTTTCCAGACATGATTTATGCCCTATTTAGTGTTCTTGGAATACTTATATTGGGAATTTCGTTTGTATATGCAATAATACTAATTAGTTGTTGAATTCCCATGCATTCTCTGCATTGTTTTTGTATGATGAATACCCAATTGGGTTAACCACATGAATTTATGGGGGGAGATCAACAGAAATAGATATTTTCGCTGAACAAATTTGCCTTTTAGTCATTTACCTTTCACATTTTCAACAAAATCACCACCTCCGCAAGTAACCATTCCTCAACCCACAGAGGGCCAAAAAATAAAAAACTAACAATTTCTGAGCATGGTCAGCACATCTCAACTTTGGATGTGCCACATGTCAGAGCTTCATTTGTGCACCAAAATGCAAGTTTCTACCATTGATTCATCTTCCATATGTGAATACATGTGTTCTTATGGATGTCTACTTACGGACCATATTCAGAAATTGTTTTTTATCTTTATTTTTGGCCCCTTCGTAAGTTGAGGAAGTGTTACTTGCGGAGGTGGTGATTTTTTTGAAAAAATGAGAGAGAAATGGCTAAGAGATAAATTTGGTCGGCCAAAATGGCTACTTTTGTTAATTTTCCATTTATGGGTTGTGTGTGTGTGTGTCCGTGATGTTGTGGAATCTTGACTCAGGAACATATCATTATAACTGGCCATGGTCCTGTGTCTGTTATCGTTTATGGAGATCAAGAAAAGCCACCATTGATTACTTATCCTGATTTAGCTCTAAACCGTAAGCAACACTAAATCTTGTCTTTATTCGTAGTATTGTTTCTTGTTTAAATGTATGTTTTATGGCAGCTATCTTTTGGTTTGATCTTTTGTTTTTTGCAGACACTTCTTGTTTCCGGGGCTTATTCTTCTGTCCTGAATCAGCTTCATTGCTACTCCACAATTTCTGCATTTATCACATTACTCCACCTGGTCACGAGGTCCGTTGATTTCTCAACTTTTCATTTGAGACTATGAAGCACCAATACTTCAGATAAAGCCGTATCCCAGCTATCAAAAAGAAACGTGGATATGGCTTCGCTGAACTTGGGTGTGACGGGTGTGAGTTGGGTGCGTTTCATATGGTTTAGGTGCATCTCATATGGTTTGGGTGCAGTTGAAACACGTCGTGGTTTCTCTTTCTTAAGGTCGTTTTACGTCATGGTTGAACCTTCCACTTGTTGTGTATCCAAAAAGGACGAACAAACCTAAAATACATGGAAATCTTATCTTAATTAGGGGATTGTAATCCCGAGAAAGCCAAACCATGTGGATGATGCATATCGCACCCGAGGCACATATTTTCGTAGGTTTGAGATGATGCTTAATTACATTGTTAACATAAAATTCTCTTCTGGACTTGCACAAGAGTTGTTGCAGTTGGGAGCTGCATCGATTTCTATAGATGATTCTGTGCCTACTGTTGAAGATTTTAGTGATCAAATTCTCGAGGTCCTCAATCATTTTAGGTAATCATGATGCTAAATCTTGGTGCTTGTAACTAGAGGCTTAAGCGGGTTGGTATTATTAAATACATTTGGATTATTTTTTAATAAATAAACAACTTAATACAAGATTAATCAGTTTAAATTCAATTTAGTACAAGTTGGTTTGGTTCAGTTCAACACCTGAAACCACAAACCAATACCAACTGAAGTTTTCTTGAACTGGACCAGTCCAGGCCAACCGATCTGATCTTGTTCAATCTAGTTTTGTGGTTCCATGGAGAACTTACACACCTAATTCTGGCATGAGGACGACATGGAAGGAATTTACTCGCATTTTCATTAATTACGCTCTTTAGTTTTTTCAATGTAAAAATCATATGTCGAGAGAAGTGAATGTTAAATTATACTATTTTCATGATCTTAGAATAAGCTCACATGATGGTGTGTATTTTGAGTTTTCCAGGCTTGGTTCAGTGATGTGTATGGGAGCCATGGCGGGTGCCTATGTTCTTACACTATTTGCGGTATGATTTTTCATTACGTTGTCAATACGTAGCATATATAAACCAAATTTCATGTTTGAGTTTGACCAGTAACAATATTTTCTTCTTTTTGCAGTTAAAATATAGTGAAAGGGTTACTGGTTTGATACTTGTTTCCCCTCTATGCCGAGCACCTACTTGGAATGAATGGTTTTACAATAAGGTTGGTTATTTCGTTTCATGTTCTTATTATAGTTATCTCACACAACTCATCCCGTTAGTGGATCTATGTCTCGTCTGAATAACATCATATCGCCAAATTGGATTGTATCTGGCTATCTGCATAAATCAAACCAAACGAACACAGTGAATCCCACATGGAGTAGGGTTGGGGGAGGGTACGCATACCTTACCTCTACCCTATGGAGTAGAGAGGTTTTCTGTATCACCCTAAAAGTAGGGAGAAAAATAAATTACAAAAATTTGGTATATAGATATCAAAATACAGAGGGTCTTTGGCCTAGCGGTATCGTAGTCTTTGGCCTCCTAGGAGGTCAAGGGTTCAAACCTCACCAAAGGTGAGGAGGATGTGCGAGTTTATTTATTGCATTTGCTGTATATAAATATTATATACTTCAAAAAAAATATATCAAAATACGGGCTTTAACCTAAAAAGGGAAACCAAATCAGTCAATTACATGTGAAATAAATGGGTTTAAGGTTAACAACCTCCTAATGTAATTCATACAAGAACTACATTATGACCAAGTGTCACTAAACCTCCGAAAGTTGCTATCTCCAATTACACAAGGCTCCTAAAAATGCTATTGCCACTACGTCCTTCTAAATAAGCACCAAGTTACCCCACGCTAGTATCTCCGCCACTAGAACCTGAGATACACGTCAACAAGAAAAGTGTTAGGCTTATAAGCATAGTGAGTTCAAGCATTTATAACACCCAAAATAAAACATATGCATAAAAAGGATGTGGCGATTCACTTTCAATGCAATGCCATTAAAACACATGTTACACCATAGTGTTTTGAAGATCTTGTTTACGTGCTTGAGTTTTCTGAGAGTAATGTTGAAGTTTAACCATGCTAGTAGCTAACGACCTAACCATATCTTGAAGGGACATACGCTAGCCTTTAGGAGCTTGAAGTGGCATTTGCCACTGCTGTCCACCTGGCTGAAATGGTGCCTTCAGTTGGTGTTTGTTGCTATTGAAATTGCCGAGGAAAACCGGTTGTTGACTTAACTGCTATGCTTGTTGAAATTGCTGGGCTGTAGGTAGTCTTTTGTTGGAATTGACCTTTACCTTTGCCTCGGGACATACCTCAAGTTTGGATGGTGTCGCCATTCAAGGTTGTATCATGTATGTACTCGATAAAGGATCCATTGCCCGGTTATGTGAATTCTGAAAATTGTCACCCCCATGGCATGCACTTGCTCTTCGGGCTCCTAGAGGGGGAATGCGTCGGTTAGATGTCCGTTAGTGGAACAAATCCCACATGCTTCCATTTGATGTATGCCTCCCATCGTAAACCGTTCCACAGTGTTGGTCAAATCAGTAATTTTAATGTCTAGGGATTTAACATGCACCCCACTCCTCAACATATGTCGTTCTGTGGTCCAAACTACTTGGAGTTCCCCACCATGGTATTGATCAATGTACTCGCTTGAGTCGGGGTCTTATTCACAATTGCACCCCCGCTCGTGACATCCATCATCTTTTGCTCCATCGACAATAAACCTTCATAAAAGTATTGGATTAATAACTCATCAAAAATGTCGTTATGAGGCCAACTTACACATAGGCGCTTGAAACGCTTCCAATACTCGTAGAGTGACTGACTCAACGTCTTTCTGTTTGATCCCGAAAATTTCTCGTGTAAGCCCAACGACTTTGGATGCGGGGAAGAACTTGTAGAGGAATGCCTTCAGCTTAAGACTCTTTTTGGTGGTGCCTTGTTGCTTCATTCCCAGGCATACCATGTGGAACTTGGTCAAATGCTTGTATGGATTTTCATCATCAAAACCATGAAAACAAGGTAGTAAGTGATGCATAGTGGTTGTCGTTTGACATCGGGTGCTGCGCATTGTCTTAGAGTGCTCTCGGAAATTGGTGCTGCCATATCTTTCTCGGCCTAGTGGATTGTGTTTTCGTCTTTAGAGTGCACCTCCTCTTCTACACTGTCTGAATACGTAGACATATCAATGTCTTTCACAGATATTCAAGTAGCGATGACGAGGTCGACTTGAGTAGCTTCTTTCGAATCTTGGCTTGCTTCCTTAACTTTTTGGCTGTCCTCTCTATTTCTGAATCTGTTGGCCCTAGTAAACCTGCATGTAGCAACCTTGGCATAAAATAGTTAAACCTGCCGAGTCCACGGCAACAACGCCAAAAATTTGATGGGTGTCGAGTGCGGCAATTAATAAAGTACAATGAATCCTATTATCTCTAAAACACAACGAGTTGTGATAGCAAAAAATAGAGTCGTCTCCTCAGTCCAAGACGTAGTCACTTGCAAATGTGTTGAAAGCATTAAATAAAAAAGTGAGGCGGGGTGTGGATGATTGATTAAAATAAGCATGCAATGTAATTGACAAAGTAAACTTGACTTACCTTTTTAGATTTAGGTCACATCTAGACTTCCAAGCAAAACCTCAGAGATCTTCGAAGCTTCCACCCGAGTTCTCCAATGAGAACCTCCAATCCAAGCCTTAAACCCTTCTAGGATTCTGGGAAATCAACTTTTTAGATCCAATGACCGATTTTAATGAAGAGAGAGGAGTAAATGTGGAAACCCTACGCCAAAAAGGCCTTTATCTTTAACACCATTTGGTGAATACGAGGGGGATATACCCGTTTTGTTATCCTATTAAGCTTCACTTGGATGCTTTGTATCTACAAGTATATCTACCCTTCCATAGAAAAAAATACCCCCAAACTATACATGTATCTACGGACGGATTTTCCGTTAGTTTTTAAATAACGAACCAAAGAACGTGTCAACTTTGGTGAGTACGAGGAGGGGGAGGAGATACCTGTGTTTTTATCCGTCTAAGCTTCACTCCCATGCTTTGCGGGGAGAGAAGCTCAGGGTTGATGCAAGATGGATCGAGACAACTCCTCAGGCCGTTGTTGAACCAACATGATGGATCCAAGCCTTATCCCTTAAGAAAATACTCCAAAGGAATCAATATTGCATGAGATTGTTCTTATGTCACAATTGATCCACAAGCCTATACTTGTGTCCCAGATACAAGTTAAGTGACGAGTTTTTAATTACGGGCATGATCATAAAAAGACGCTACAAGGTTAGTTTGTAAAAGTGATTTTCATAAAAAGTCGTTTACCTACATAACCCATCACCATATCGTGCATTTTAGTTCACTTTTTGCGTTTAGAAAATGTTGAAGCTAATCTACAATTTGATTCACCATTCATGATATCCGTATACCTTCTCTTGATTGTTCATGAATCAACAACCATGTTTACCCAATGTTGTGATTTGTAGTTCATGTCGAATTTGCTCTATTACTACGGTATGTCTGACTTATTGAAGGAGTTTTTGCTTCATAGATACTTCAGTAAGGTATATTCAGACTTCTCGCCTTTTGATCTTTTTCCTCTAATATCTTTCTTTAACATATATAGTTTCAATCACATGATTTCTTTGGATTTGATCAGGAAGCCTGTGGTAGTCTACAGGTACCAGAATCAGATATTGTTCGATCATGCAGGAAGGTTAGTTTTCTGATGTCATTCTTCTATGGATAGGGTAAACCATTCTTTTTTATGGCATATTTGATGATGGAAGCCAAACGCCCCATTTTCAACTTCAAAATTAATATTGATTTTTTTGAAATTTTGAGAAAATTGGAATCCTGTGATAATTGAAATGCTTGATTGCATGTAATTTTTTGATAGTAGTAAAACCAATCCAAACCAAACATGCCCCGTATATTTCACTTAGAGTTGGGGGTATGATGTATGCAGACCTTGGGTAGAGTTGTGAGAGGTTTCCGTGGTTTTTTTCAAGAAAAATGATAGAATAGGAATCAGGTCTTTTATATCTGTATCACTTGAGAAACCTAGGAGTTACATATATATAGGGTTGGGTCCTGGTGGTTATAAGAGTTATAGTGAGAAGATGAGGATGAAACCTTCATATACATTCATTTACATTGAACTACCTTTTCCATAATCAATATAACTGAAAATTTAACAAATTCATACGTGTGGAAGTGATTAAACATATGTAAAAGTTCCTGAAAATGACTTAAAAGTTAAGATAAATTTGAAAATAAAGGTAGATGAATGTAGTTGAAAAAAATTAAGTTAGATTAAAAAGTCAACTCATCCAATGGCTCATAAGTGTTCTCACCATTCTCATCATAACTCTTATTTTCACATGATCCCTCGTTTATACACACACACACACATATATATATAGAGAGAGGGAGGTTGTGGATGGTATGCACATGTGTATACAAGTAATTGAAGTTGTTTCTTGGTTTTTATGCATGTGTGCATGTTATGCACATATGCATACCAGACAAATTGCTTACAAATTACTTATATGCACATGTGCATACCGTCTAGATGAATTTACCAGAGTGTTCCTTAATTTTTTCATTTTTTTTGTGGTTTTCTCTAAACCTGACCCTATATATATATATATGAGCATAGGGAAATCTGATTGTTACAACTATATCCAGATTTACTTCATTCCATTCAAGATAAAAACTAAACCAAGTCTAATATATAATCCAATCCGAAGAATGTTCACCAAATAACTAACCTACCTGCATACCAGAACAATATCTGATTCTGGGACCTCTAGACTACTGCGGACTTCCCGATCCAATCCAAAGAAATATTGTGACTAAAAGTAATATATTAAAGGAAAAGGTCAACAGGCGAGAAGCATGAATATACCTTACTAAAGTATTTGTGAAGCAAAAACTCCTTCAACAAATCCGACATACCGTAGTATTAGAGCAAATGGACATGAACTACAAATCATAACTTCGGTGAACATGGTTGTTGATTCATGAACACACTTGAGAAAAGGAATGCGAATTCCATGAATGATGAATCAAATAGTAGATTAGTTTCAACATTTTCTAAACACAAAAAGATGAACTTTTCAATTCTTGTGGCTACAAATACCACAAATTGACCCAACAACCTCCAAATAAACTTAAAACGATGATGGGAAGTTATTAGTGATTGGTCCTGTGGTTTGGGAAATGGTAAAATAAAGAAAAAAAATGCTAAAAGGACCAATTTACCCTTATAGTTAACGGACAAGTTGGATGGCCGTCAGTGCGAGGAACCAAATCCAATACAAATTGCATAGGTGGAATGTTCTTTTGTAATAAATAAAGATAAAGGACCAGAACCATAACAAATGACAAACCTTAGGGACCAAATCTATAAATTATTATTTAATAAGTAGCAATATAAAACTAAGAACTTATCCTAGTTAGCCTTTATCTGTAACACCACCTCTCTTTGACTTCTTCATTGTTACAGTAGTAAAATACCAAAAATGCCCTCCAATAAATGACATCAATAAGTAGCAATGACAAAACTAGGAACTTATTCCAGTTAGCCTTTATCTGTAACACCATCTCTCTTTGACTTCTTCATTTGTACAGTAGTAAAATACCAAAAATGCCCTCCAAAAAGTGACATCAGTAAGTAGCAATAATAAAACTAGGAACCTTTCCTAGTTCCCTTTATCTATAACACCATCTCTCTTTGACTTCTTCATTTTTGGCAGTAGTAAAATACCTTAAATACCCTCCAATAAATAGCATCAATAAGTAGCAATAATAAGAGCGTTAAATAGGTAATTTCCTAAACAAGAAATGTTTCAATTTTCATGGGATGGAGGGAGTATATCTTATACAATTCACTCTATTCATGTTGTGGGTCCCATCTTCATTTACCCACTCAAAAAATTGGACTTGATGATATCTTAAATGGGATAAATTATATGCACTTATATCTTCTTTCTTCTTAGATCATATAAATGAGACCCACAAATCATACCATAAAACCAAACCAAACCAAACAAGCCTAGTATATTCCATCTGGATATTACCCTGTACATCTCACCGGTTGTCCCCCCCCCCCCCCCCCCCCAGGGGTGGATGTACGTGTACCTGTCTTATACCTCAAAGAGCACAAAATCATATTATGTAAAAGGGGTTGCTATTCATACCCCCTTCCCCACTCATATACCACCTATTTCTTATCACACTACATCACTCACATACCCCCTATAGGAGGGGTATGAATAGAATTCACCTATGTAAATGACCAAAATGAATAATTCCTCAGGGGATGTTTGGTTGGTTTTCAATTAAGTCCTTATAGATAAAGCTGTCTGTGTGAATTAATCTGTCTATATAGACTGGGAAGGTTTTTCACAAATGGAATGAGCGTATTTGCTCATTTTTTAATTGGGAGGGACATGTTCGGAATAAACTTCGTTTTATGCATAAAGCTCCCCTAGAAGCTTATTGAATAAGCCACTTCTTATATCATTAAGCCACTACCAAACAATCATCTATAACCGACCGAATATGATGTGAGTTCCATTAAGCTGCTACAGACAGGCCCTTAGACTTGTTTCTGGAATGTTCTTGTTTCTTTATAGAATGATGAAAACAATATGCTTTGTTTTGTTCCTACAGTTGTTGGATGAAAGAAATAGCATCAATGTGTGGCGGTATCTTCAAGCAATCGACAGGTAGAGATACACAAGATCTTTATTCACACCCCTCTCTTAGAATAAGTGTCCATATTTCTATTTTAATTTATCCCAAAATTGAGTACCTACTTTCCAATTATATCCTTAATCATGAGATGGAGAAATTCTTATCAAGGATAAAATTGTCGAGATTTATTTTGGGAGGTAGGGAGTAACTGTTTACGAAAGTTTGTGATCCTAACTTTCTTTAAATCTTGTTGAAATTGAGTAGGAGACCTGACCTCACTGAAGAATTGGAGAATCTAGAATGCCGAACAATCATCTTTGTCGGGGACAGCTCTCCATTTCATGCTGAAGCCCTTCACATGACTGCAAAACTCGGCAGAAAATGTTGTGCTCTAGTTGAGGTATGTTATACATCACAAACTTATATAAGGGTAATTGTCTAAATTACCCTTTAAATTGCGCTTTCTTCATCGATAACAAAGGGTAATTTGGTCAAAAAACGGACTCCATTGAATGGTTTTGGATGGAACTCATCATTCCATCCATTCTGCTAAGGAATGATAGGGCCAGACTGACACATTGTTATAATTGGGCCAGAGACTGACACACTGTTCCTAACCGGGTCCAGACTGACACACTGTTTTTAACCCGGGCATGTCAGAAGAAGGTCATTGAGCTAATTATTTTAAGGTCATATTTCTACTTAAAATCTCACTTAAGGCCATTTATCCAAAGGACCTGGTGATTGAACCACATTAATATCTCACTTATTGAACTAAAATGCACAATATGGTGATGGGTATCTAGTTAAATGATCGAGTATGGAAGTCACTTTTATAAACTAACCTTGTAGCGTCTTTTCAACATCATACTGCTAATTGAAAACTCATTTAAGGTCATTTAAACCTATATCTGAGACACAGGTACAAGCTTGTGGATCAATTGTGACAGAAGAACAACCTCATGCAACGTTGATTCCTTTGGAGTATTTTCTCAAGGGGTTTGGCTTGTATCGATCATGTTGGTTCAACAACGGCCATAGGAGTTGTCTCGGTCCATCTTGCATTAAACCCGAGCTTCTCTCCCCTCAAAGCATGGGAGTGAAGCTTAAACGGATAAAAACACGGGTATCTCCTCCCCCTCCACGTACTCAACAAAGTTGACACAATCTATGATTCGTAAAAAAAAAGAAAAAAAAAAAAAACTAACGAAAAATCCTTCCGTAGATACACATACAGTTTGGGGTATCTTTTTTATTCTACGTAAGGGTAGATATACTTGTAGATACAAAGGAAAGGAAATATATTTTTTGAATGGTTAATGTTCGTTCATTTGTTGTCTTTTATGAATCTGAAACTCTGTACTTCTGTAGAGATGGAAATAAAAGCGTCACAAAACTTTGATTATGATGATTGTTGGTGCACCGCATTCTTTAGAAAACTATGAAGGGCATTTTAGACATTTAACTATTTATTTTTGGTTTGTGACGGTGTCTCGTGATTTATGATGTGACTTGTACATATCTATTAAGCTTGTAACTTATGGCAGTTGAGATGTATACATATATGTTATCTACTTCAAAGAAAGTAGAACGGTTATTTATGTGAAGACTCAAACTTGTGAAAAAGTAAGTAGCATGCAGACTATGCTGGATTAGATAAAACTGGAAGGATAATAGTGAGGTAAGCGAGCGAAAAAATTGTTAAATGTTTTAGGGTTTTAGACAAAAAAAATGCATTTCTTCCCACCCAGTCTGATCTGGGGCAGTCTAGTTATTGTACTAAACGTGAGACAACAAGTTCTTGTTCTATCTTGTTCTGTATTGTCTCGTGTACCAAACACAGGAAGAAGTTCCTAACCATGGATTGAAATTCTTTCTGGTGATAGTAGCAAGCAGCGTAAAAGATTTTGATCTGAACCTAAGTGACTAAGAAGATTTGTCGACAAAAAAAGAAATTGAAACGCATGAAGGAAACAGTACACAAATATTAGACAAATACAAACAACGCATAAATTGAACATATTAAAGATAAAAAAAATATCGAAATAAACACTAGGATGATTTTTATGCTTATGATCTAAAATTTCGATTGTAGGTTACTGATGATGTCCGAACTGGTTTGAAAGGTCTTGACAAGAATATCAGTTGATATCTTTGGTTTTGAACCAAAAACCACATTTGCAATTGTGACTATGCCAGGGTTTTGGTTACTCAATGTCGAAATTGCAAATGCATTCGTGTTTCCGATGTTTCTTTGGTAATGTACGAGTTTCATTGGGAAAACGAAAACGTCACCCTCATGCAACACTTTAGAGATAAAACGGTTTTCAGGGTTTGATGTGACAAATCCGACCTCTAGAGTGCCTTTCACGACAGTCAAAACCTCAGTGGCACGAGGATGAAGATGAGGTGGGTTGAGCCCCCATGGTTCATAGTCGACACGAGCCATTGCGATTCCCAGAGTGTTGAGTCCTGGCAACTGTTCCACGAAAACCGGGGTCACCCTGGATCCGACAGGGTTCGAGGTGTTTCCCTTCATGTGTAATCCACCAAAGTAGAAGTCGTTCGCTTCAACCAAACTCGGGTTTTTGCAAGTGAATCCGTTCACAAAAACTACCATGAAAAAGAACTCGATTATATCACCGAAAACAAACACAGTTTGAAAAACCAAATGAAACACAATAGATACACAAGGCCCAAACCTTCCAAGTCCGTTTTCAATTAAAAAAAAGAGCATGGGCTTTAGGTGTAAAAATAGACCCAATCGGGCTTTTATAGCTGGACATTTTTGGGCCTAGGGTAGAGGTCATTCAAGCCCGTTTCAGTAAAAAAATATTGGGCTTTGGGTATGAAAAATAGACCCAATCGGGCTTTTCTAGCCGTGCTTTTGAAAAAAAGAACTTGGACCAAGCGTAGCCTAGCCCTTGGTTTCGGGCTTCTTGTGCATCTCTAGGGACACGATTATATACAATACCATGATCACTCGTGTCTGCAACACAAAAATCTTGAAGCGGGCTGGTGTCGGTAGCCATGACCATCGAGAACACAAGAGCCAGAAGCGTAAACGAGGTGAAAACACGAGCCATTAATGGATCGATCGGAGAGATTTGAAATGGATATGGAGTTGATGGTTGTTTTTATAGAGAAAAAAAAAAAAGGTAGAAACGTCATGGATTAAAAGCTACAATATTCAAATGTCATCCTGTGAATCATTGAAACAGTCATGTTTCACAAGAGTTGGTATCTGTGTTTGTTTAGTTATTGTTTGACCCGATTTTTATCATAACAGAGAGGGGGCAATTATTATACAACTCATCCTATTTGTACAACCATTGCAACTCAATTTCAACCGTCCACTTAATCTAGCGAATACGTGTTTTTATAAATATTTTGATTGTTTCATAATATAAAACGTTGGTCATAATTAATTAACTCTAATCATCTTCCATAAATATCAAATCATAATAAATGAACCATCATCATTTCCATAAATATTTCAATTGATTAGGTTACATTGGTTGTACAAATGAGTACGATTTTAAAAAAGGTTAAAACAGTTCGAGTTGGGTTTGAAACGTTCTATCTTACATGGTAACACCAAGTAAACAAGATTTGGTGGCTCAAATATCGTTAAATCTTTTGACCAAGCAAATAGTCTATAAAAAAACACATCCAATGCCATTTCGCATAAAGCCAAATCAAACCAGTATATTTTTTCTGCTTTATTTACATTTCAGATAATATATATAAACTGAATTCAAGTTAAAATAATATATTTTTGTAACAGGTTTCATCTGGTTGGGTTGACCTAACATCTGATTACGTTTTGCTTTTGGTCTCATTATAATATCATTTAATATATTAATATGATCACAAAGAGTAATTACATAATCATCCAATTAAGGTTGTACACGGGTTGGGTTGATCGGGTTGACGACATTTGAACAATATAACCCAATATTTGTTGTTTAAAAAATCTCAACTCGACCCAACATAACCTAAACCATGTAGGTAGGATTGGGTTCAGGGACGTAAACAATGGAGGACAAGGTGAGGGCTAAGGATTAACATGACAAAGACCGAGAATCTTATCCGGTAAGAGGCAAGACAAGAAACGAAAATCTTACGCAGTAAATGAGGGTGACGACTCTTCCAAGTGCTTATCGGGTAAGAGTCATGGATGGACCCATAGAAGGGCATATGGTGGCACGTGTCACCGTGTTATCTCTCTGCTAAGAGGTTAAATTTTTTTCCGTTTATGAAAAGTGCAACCATATCATTTTAGAAGGTGTCACCGTATAATATTCAAAAGTTCAAGAAGGTGCAACCGTGCCTCATAATCAACAAAAAACCGGAAAAAAAAAAACTCTTGAAATCAACCAAAAAAAACCCCTCGAAATCGATAAAAAAAAAAACTAAAAATTTCCTCGAATTCAAGCAAAAAACTTTAAAATCCCATGAAACAATGAAATTAGGCTAAAAACACATCGAACAATTAATAACATTAGTAAAACATGAAGACACGTCGATAAAAACCGTGCTTTTCGTAATTATTTTTTATCTATATTATATAGTGTCGTCGTATAAAAAACTGATGGGTCCGTCCCTGTGAAGAATGGACGGTGATGGGCGGCGTGATGCCGTTTGGTGTAAAGAGTTTGAGAACGGTAAAACTGATATAATTTATACAAAAAAACTTCCTAGTTGGTTACATATATTTTTTAGGTTAAAAGAATATAGATAACTATTTTTAAAAAATTCGATAATTTATTTAATTAAAAAAGAAATGTTAAGAGATGTAATTACTCAAAATCAAAAAAAAAAAAAAAAAAAAAAAAAAAATTCATTAAAAAAAAGTTTCACAGAACTAATTATTCAAATGAAAAAGTTTATTGAGTTAGAGGCTGTTCACCTAAATGCTTATCCGATAAATG